TCTTTTTTTCTTTCTCTGAAATATATGATAAGCAGACATTGCAATCTACACCATAATTAGACATGTTATCTTCTCTAAACCCTTTGTCTCAAGGATCACAGAGTTCCTGTGACTGTGAAGAAGTCTCCTGTGATAGCTAGGATATGTGATACAGAAGAGATGCAGGCTCATAACAAACGGGAATTTTCTCAGCCACAGAAAGTGACAGGCTTTCCAATGGGCACTGTAAAACTGAATGTCAAAACATAAATATTTCGGTAAGGGTAGTTCAGCTGTCAAGGGGCTCACCTGCTGATTCCACTGTGTTTAAGGATTGTGGTTCAAGATCCAGTGGTAACAGTCACCTACAGAATTATATGAACACACAGGTTCTTATTTTATTGAATGACTAAAGTAGAGGAAAAAAACACATCAAAAGAAGCATGATATAGTTGTGCACTTTTGACCAACCTAAAGCAAGATTTACTATCAGGTGTTGTCGGGCTGCACTTTCAGAGACAGTGAAGTCCAGGTTTATGCTGTAAATTTTGCAGTGGTAAAAAAAAAAATGAAACAGTCTGATGAGAGGAGAGAAATGGAGGGGAGGAGGGGTAGGGAAGGTAATAGGAGTGGAGAACTCTTCAGTTACACTTTCAGTAGATGGCCAGAACTGACAGTGAGATTTCAAAATAGAAAAATATTATTCAGGGTGGTGGAGTTTAGTAATGGAGAAAGTTTTGTATTTCCACTTCTTCCTGAGGAATTTTGCATATTGGAAAGACTTTAGGACAACATATGGTGAAAACTAGAATTCCCTGTTGTGTTAAAGAGGTTGACAGGAAAATGATATAGTTCATAGATTCAGCTGGCACTGTGACACTGTATGAGTGGAAGTCTGCAGAAATTTGCAGTTTGGCTGTAAAGGTTATCTAGTATGAAGCTGATCACAAGAGCCTTCAGCAAAGTTGTGGAAATCTCAGGGGTGGGGAAAGAGGGCTTCCATGAGGATATCTAGGAAGCTGAAGACATGTTTTTCCCATAAGTAAGTGTGCACACAAACAGCAAGGACTAGTCTAGATGCGTTGTTTTAGAAATTATGGAGCAGAGCAAAATATTCAGAGAGATTTTCAGTGGGTGTAAATTATCCTTAATTGCTTACAGTGAGGGGAACTAGTCCTTACAGCTGAGGATCTTATTCATGATCCGAATGTTTTCAACAAATCAAGATTGCCCCTCAGAGACAGTGCATAATAGTGTCTTTTTGACACTAGCAGATTGTTTTCGTGAAGGAGAGTAGTAACATTTTTCAGATTAGAAGTGTTCACCAGAACTCTTATGCTACTAGATTGTGTTTTAATATAGTTCAATATCTATGCAGCAGATGGGAGAAAATATAAGTTTTATGGTATATACTGGATAAGGAGGTTAGTATTTTTTTTTTCAAATGTATATTCTTCAGTCTGATGTTCTATGTATCAACCAACTATTTAAGAACACAAGCATGAGAGAATAGATATTTAATAGATATTTTGGGGGGAAGATAGTCAGTATGCTACTGCTCTGGTAGGACATACTATGTCCACAGTCCAGACCACATAACATACTTTTTGTATTACACACCAGTTTTTATGTTTATATTCTTCATGTTTGTGATTGTCAGGACTATATACGAAGCTTACAGGGAATTCAAGCTTAGATGTGAAAGGTAGAGCCTAATGATTTAAATATACCAGCAGACAAATTAATTTTATTTTTAACTCCTAAATTACTTTTTATGTAGGCAAAGCATGAGTGAGGAGACTTGATTGCATTTTACCCCATCAATTACAAGTGCAAATAATTCTTAATTCTGTGTACTCTGATTCCTGTTTGTCCAGAAAGTAATTCCGTTTTATCAAAGAGCATCTTTAAACCCAAAATACAAAATGGTTGCAGGTCAGTTTTGCCTTCACTTCACACTCAAGCCTGTAAATGCAGATGACAGAGAAGGCACTGGAATCAGAGCACTGCACTGCCTCTATTGCTGTCAGTGTTAGTCATATCCACTACTGCAAGTGCAACCCTGAACACTGAAGTTATGCCTTGATGAGGAAAAAAAGCCACAACAGTGTCTTTAGTTTTCAGTTTTATGAATGCTGTGATGCTGCTTATGTGGACTGTAGACTTCATACTTACGGACTTCAAAGAACTGGTGATGTAGAAGTGCTAGTTACACTTGGAAAGAAATAGAATATTTTTTAAAAAAGTTATTTTAAAAATCCATATAAATATGTATATCTATATCAGTAATAAAGGCAGTGAAATACAATTTAATAAATAATTATTCACCAAACAGAAAATATTTTTAAATACCAGACACTTCTGCTTTGGGAAGTATCACATTCAATGTGTTGAAAGAACTATAAATAAAAACTAAAAAAAACCTACAGAAAAAAAAAAGGCTCTAAAAGGAATAGGAAGACTTATCCTGAAGAAGGGGAGGAAGGGAGGGAAGAGAGTTTCAGAGCAGAGAGTGCTGCCATACTGCAGTACAGCTGAGTAAAAATAATTGGAATTGTGGAGCCTGTGTTGTGAAAGTATTTGAGAACGAGTAAAAGGCAACAATTTTATATATATACATATTTTTTTCCAGGGGGTGTAAGTATTCTGCTTTTCATCAGATTGTGCTGTCTAGCATATGGACTGTTTTTCACTTGGTATTTTGGGTGTGTTTTTCAGTTCTGTGCTGTGGTGTGTGGCTGGGGACCATGGCACTCCATATGGTGGCTTTCATAGTTTCCTGCAGGTGTAAAAGAAAGGATAAAAGAGAACACTGTTCTAGATAAAGGTTAGAGCAAATCCAGGTCTGAAATAGCCTGTTCAAGGCAAGAACAAGATATTTCAAACTGCTTAGTAGTAAGAGTCTAACATACTGTAAATGTTTTACTGACATTTCTTAAGAAAATCCGTTTTGTATTTTTATCTCTGTTAAATAGCAATCTGCTGCCTCTTTGAAATAAACTGACAGTTTATCAATATCAGAAGTCCTTAACCTGATATAATTTAGACACAGAGAGGGAAAGTAAAGGGTGCTTAAACAGTCCCTACTACAACCAACGCTTAGCTTATTTGAACTGAGCGATAGGAAGTGAATGTATCACTGAGGAATCACGTATCACCCACTCTCCTTAACACTCATCGCAGCCGTCTCTGATTTCCACATTACATGGTCATGATTTACCCAAAGGGCCAGATCAAAACTGAGCTATGACTAGTTTGGATTAGTAATTTTAAACTATGCTCTACTAGTGAGGATGACAACTGTGCATTAATCCTGAATTAAAAAGAATCTTGGTCCATGTTGGAGAGATGTCTTTTATACTGTAGCATTATGTTGTGGAAGTTAGGGTCTTTAGGTAAGACATTGCCTATTAACTTTTTTTTTTTTTGCCTGTAGGGAGACACTGGATTTTCACATGTGGAAGCTTTCAAATTGCTGCTGCTTAGCAAACACGCTCGGTGGGTTTGTGGTTTATCCCACCAGTTTCTAAGCAAAGCCTTTCTGATGCAGGGCAGTACCACAGAAGGGATTACTATAAAAAGGCTTTAAATACAGTCTGTAATCAGAAGAGCTTTTTATTTGTTTCGCGTTTCTGCCCTCTAGGTACCTTTGTCAGCACAGTGCATAGGGGTTCTGCAGCTGGAAGAGCCTGACATACTGAAAACAGCAGAGATCACATTTCACTCAGTTTTAATAGTTGTGGGTAGGGGTACAATGATAATCTAGAGCATTTAGCGTGTATGTGATTTAATGTCTAGTCTTTTTAGATTAATTAAATGCAGGAAGGATGAAATCTTCTTTTTTCAATGGCTTCCTAAATAGTAGCGGATCATTCCAAGTGAATACCTTGTTATCTGTTTTAATTTCCTTTTCATTTTCACCTTGTGTTTGGCTCTTAAATACTTCTTGTCTGCCTCTCCACTCATTCAGACAAGGAAGAGGCCTATTTCAGAGACAGCATTGCTTATCTTATGGGGTTAATGCAGTTGATTCCTCAGAAAGGCAAAGCTATGTTTGGTTCTGAGTGATAAAACTTAAACTTTTGAAAACATCATACTAAGTACACATCTCCACTTAGCCAGAGAAGGCTCACAGTTGTAAAAGACAGAAAAAAAAGACTTGCTTAAGTATTGAAAGTTAGGAGGTTTTTTGTATTTTTTTTTCCTAGTGAGTTCTACCAGTTACTAAATCATAAAGATTTTGAAGTAAAAAGAGACAAGGTGCACAAAAATATAAAAATTGTATGTATTACTGCTGAAAATCATTCCTCATTAAATGAAGGTTTCATTGAAAGCACAAAAATCACATTATCATCTGATCTTTCTCAACATATTTCCGTATAAGTATATAAACTAGCCTAACATGCTTCTTACCATGCCTGACACTTGCTTTAGGAATGTATTAAAAATGAGTGGGGAGACTCAGGGCTTTTTAACAGGCCCGATTTAAATCAGAACAAATCTTAACATCTGGTGTCCTGTGACTAAGAATCAATCTAATTGGTCTGATTCATCCTGCATGCTTTTATTTTATTTGTCAGTTATCTAGAAGAGAGTCAAGGTAGGATATGTCCTTGTCATTGATATAACTTTCTGCCTGTAGCTGGTTTGTAATTATGTCATGGTAATGGCAAGGAAAGCAGATTGTAAGAGACAGAGGAAGAAAAATCAGACTAAGTAACTGAATAATTACACTTGTTTTGATTACTTTAAAGAGAAAAAAACCATAAATTTTACTAGGAAAATCGGTGTATTAAGAGAACAGTCACGAGAAAATTTTATAGCTACACATACCAATGTATCAGTAAGAGTGATGCCATCCAAGGAACATGCTCTAAACTCTGAGATTATGACATAAACTCAACTGTGCTGCTGATGAAAAAAGTAATAAATAAACATTTTTGATGCATTATGAAAAAGCTGCAAAGAATTTGCATTCTCTATGAAAAGAGGTTCTGACAACAGCTCTTGTCATTCTCCTGTGTAGGTACCTGTTACACAATTTCTTTGGTGAAGGCTGTTCATCAGTGGTGACTTCTTCCAACTAACCACTCCACAAATTATCTCTGGACTCCCAGCTGCCACCCTGCCGGAGGCTAGAGCTGCTGAGACAACTGGAATTCTGCTTTCTCTCATCAAGGTTTTTTCTTTCACTGGGAAAAAAAAAAAAAAAAAAAGAAGAGGATGAAGTTGGGCACAGTGGAGTTCTGCCATTTTCTGCAGATACTAGCTCTTTTCCTGTGTCTTTCTGGGATGAATCAAGCAGAGCACTCGAGCTCCCGGTCAAAGGCCTACTTTCAATCAGGGAGGACGAGAACCAAACGCAGCTGGGTGTGGAATCAATTCTTTGTGCTGGAAGAATACATGGGTACAGACCCACTCTATGTAGGAAAGGTAGGGGATTTAAACAAACTTTGGAGGGTGCAGATGCTTCCTCTTTTATGTATTTCTAATGGTGCAACTCAAAAAGTGTAATTCTGTCAGCATGGTTGATTTAAGCCAGGATGAGAGAAAGTTTTTTAGTTTGAAAAAAAAATGTTTAGCACTTCAAAACAGCAACAAGATTACATTCCTGATTCATCTTGCAATTTTCTGTGAGACCTCTACACATTAGCTATGCTTCTTTAAAGTGATATAATCATGAAAGTGTTTTACCATCATTAATGCAAAGTCCATATTCTGTTACTCATATTAAATGTATTGTTTTTATACAGGAATAGAGAAACATAATTATTAATATCCTTTTATAAGAGCTACCAGCTAGTCCCAGAAAATAGAAGTTCTGTGTTATGTTTTTTACTCCCTAAAGACCAGCACTACTGAAGACAAGAGAGAGAGAACTGGGCATCTGGAGGTGTGACAAGTAAAAAAGAGGGCATGTCTGCCCTACTGCTTTGTTTTGACATCGCTTGCCTGGCAGATTGGTACCTTGGGGGTTTCACTGCTCTCTGTGCATCTCACAGCCTTGTGGCTGTACCTTCTTTCTGATGGGCACTGGGCCAGTGCAGAGCAAGCTCTTTCATCAGGGCATCCCAAATGACTCTTTACACATGCCTGTTGCTGCACACGGGGCACACTGAGCACAGCTGTGAATCCAGGCCATAGCTCATCCACTGCCTTGTGCTGGTGGGTGATACACTTGCTTCAGCAATTTAAGAAAAAACAAACAACAACCCTAACGCCCCCAGAAAACCCCTCTTAGGTTTCTATGTAACATTTGTATGTGATCATCTTATTGAAAGAAAACTGAGTTTTTCTAGGTAATGCCAGTATCTTTTCTCATTACAATAGAGCAAATGCATGCAAAACAAGTGAGTGACAGTATTTGTCAAAATGGCATGCTTACAGAAAAGGAGATGAAGTAATCTGAAATCTCCTGCTTCAAATATACAAGTGCAATGAATATCATCTTACTTAATTTGTCCTACTGAGACAAAAACCTTGGTGTTTGTGTTAACATGGTTAAGCACTTAGGATTTAATCATGCCAACTGAATAATCAAGTTAAACGGGGAGATGCTCTCCTTATTAAAGCTATAGTTGTGTTTTCTTTTCTGATCTGGGGCTACTACTTTACACAGCTGAGCCCTTAATAAGAATAAATTTCATATTTTATTACAGTAATCCTAAAAGGTTTTCTTAAATTTTATGTTATTTAGCAATTTTCACTCTGATACCATGGAGCTGCACCTTGGCTTTGTAAATTTTGTCTTTTAGGCAAATTTGTTTTAATGTTGGAGCTTCTCTTTTGCCTCTGGAAAATGGCATATTTGGCATTCTTGCCCAGTGATAAGAAGGGAAGTGTGGCTGACAAATTAGCATTTGTCTCCTGGAAAATAAGTTTCTTTAAATACTCAACTGAAGACTGCTTTTGATCTGTAGCAATTCTCATCCTCATTCAGTTGCTAAATTATGGCCAAAGATGTTGTGGTAGCACTAGAGTGCATGGTATTTGAATGTATTTCGCTATTTTTAGCTTTTCAGTCTGCTCTTTCCTGTCCTTTACAGGAGTCCTAGCATTCATAAGCAGATATCTTCCAAAAAGCAAACCCTTTTTTTCTGAAACAGTCTGTGCCCAGCCTACTTTTATATCAGCAGTATGAATTGTTGGCTCAAGATTTCACATTTATACCAGCAATTCATTTTGCAGGAAAAGCAGACAAAAATTTGCACTTGCAAAAGGAATCCCATCTTCCTGGAAACAGAGCCCTTGCTGAGCATCTTGTAAGATAAGATGTGCCCAGTTCCTAACCTTCTCACTGGAGAGGCTTTTTACTGTGTGGTTCCTGGGGTGCAATCATAACCAAAGCTCAAGTGAGCGGCAGTTGCCTTCCTCCCCCTCTTCTCCCTTGAAAAATATTGCTGGTCTTGTTTCAAATCCTTTGCAGGCGGATAGAGACTGAGAAGACCAAGATTTGGATAGGAAGGTTGCACTTTTTTTTTTCTTCTTTCTGCTTGGTGAGGAAGATACAACAAGCAAAGAGCTGGCTTAACTCTCTCAAGTGAAGTGGAAGCAGCAAGCAGACACTGCCTCGTGTTACGCAGAGTGCTCTGCTCCTAGGGAGGTCAGTCCTGAACTGCCTTACATTCAGGGTGCTTTGCAGGGTGCCAATCTAACTGCACATCCAGGACTGAAGAACTGTCCTCCAGATTTTAAGGGCTGTGAGATAAAAATGCTTCAGAAACACTCAGGCAAATGGAGCTTCAATAGAGAATATTTTCTCCTCCCCTCTATTCAATTTTACAAAGCCCTAGGCAATTCTGTTTGGAAGGCAGCATTCAGAGAATGTTAGGGTTATATGGTAGATCATTAAGCGTCATGAAATACCAATGTTAATTCCATGTTTGGTATTAACTCTGTCCTCCTGGGTGTGTTCATTCTGACACTTCAATTACATGATCATGCAGGGTAAAATCCTGTTCTTTTAAATAATGTATCTGGGCTCCTATTCACTTCAGTAAGATGAATCTGTCACTTAGTATAATTTTTCAATATTTTCATGTTTTTTTAACAAGACTTCATATCCATACTTGAGGTATATTGAAGCCTTCCTTCTTGTGTCCTTGGTATCCATTTATTCACATAATGTTTTTTGTCTTGTGTTGTTTTGTTGCTGTTGTTGTTTGTTTTGATTTGGTTTTAATATCTTTATTTTCTTGAGATAGCAATAGTCTTTTTCTCATGTTGCTCTGGAGAAACCTCTGGAGGAGTTCCATTACTTTTACACTAATAGGAGTCAGAGGTGACTGAGGGTTTTTTTTTTTCTTTTCTAATGTAGGTCTTTCCTTTCCATGACATGAATTTTAATCATCTTGGATTCAATCCTGAGTAATTCTGAGTGCCTCTTGGGAGGTGCTTAACATGTAATCAGATTGTGGACTGAGCCATATACAATTTCTTTCTGTCTGTCAGCACAGCATATGTTATTTTCACTTAAAGGGCTGAATCATTTAACTATTTAGGCCATTTACCTGTTTGGATAGGCACTGTTACCTTACAGAGATGCCATGTATGAGATGAGGGAGTTAACTATGATGCTAATTTAGCTAGAAGCATAGGTGGCTTCTGTTTTCCAGAAAATGTTTGCTATTGCTTGGTGATATGTTTTGTGAAATGCTTTACTCTGCGTTTTCCATATAAATGGCTAAAATGGAATCTATTTGGGCATAAAAATAACAGTGCAGAGCAGTTTTAAATTATTCCATGCAGAAAAACTTAAATTAAGAAAAAATGTATGCTCATATTTAATATTTGAAAAGCTGTATACAGTCTTGTAATAGAAATCTGTGTAGATACACAAAGAGGTGTAGTTAAAGCAGAAGTTTAAAATTGAGTTGATATATTTTTTTTGTTTTTGTTACATAACCATCAGACATCCAGGGTTTTGGTGTTGTTGGGTTTTGTTGTGTTTTTGTGTTTGTTTTGTTGTGTTTTTTTATTTTATTGGGGGGGGGGGGGGGGTTGTTGCTGTTGGGTTTTTTGTCCTTTGTTTTTTATTTCATTTTACATACTCTGCTGCAAGGGTGTCAGTCTCCTCAAAAGCATTATAATGACACAAGTGTCAGTCAGTTATCCTGTCATTTTTCTTATTAAAAAAAAAAATCAAAAATCAAAATAAGCCAAAAATAGACCTGAAGAAGTGTTATAAGGCTGTGAACTCCATGAGAGATGCTGGCTGATGCCTGGCTTCACCGTTTTCTTTTGGATTAAAACCAAAGCTCTTTTTCCAATGGCTCTAAATTTAGGTATAGTTGAAGATAGAGACTGTTTCAAGCTCTTTGCTGAGTTCAACCTTTTTTTTTTTTTTTTTTTTTTCCCCTGAAGTCTCACTAAGATATGAAGGATTGAAAATGAAAAAGACATATGCTTGATTGACCCCAAACCCAAGGAGTCAATATTTAACTTTGAGAGGAGCACTGGTACTTCTCAAAAAGAACTTATAATATGCCGTGCATGTATTTGTTATTTATAATGTATGGGGAAGGAAAGTATAAATCCTAACTGGCATTTTCTAGATGGTAAAATCAAGAAAAAAAAGGTTAAATAAGTGGACTAAGGGTATGTAACTTGTTATGGCCCAGAGTCATTGCCTTTCAATTTCTTTTCACCTGCCTCTTCATTTTTCTTTTAAGATAAAAAGGCTTGTTTGATTCAATTTTCAAATATGTACCAATGTACATGAAGCTAATATTTACATGATTATTTTCAACAGTAGGACAGAAAGAGTGAAGCATAAAAATACCGAAATGCAGTGAACTTAAAAAAATTGCTAGAAAACTGGTTCATTTAAGAGAATGTACAAGGTTGTGCCAAGCTAGAGTGGGAAAACAAGAAGTGTATGTTATTTTCAGCATAGGGAACAGGTCATTTTTTCCAGCCTCATCTCTTTGGAGCGAAGGAGGCTGGACTGGGGAAGCCACTGTTGTTAGGGTTTTTTGTCTGTGTGTTTGGGGTTTTTCTGTGTTAGGGGTTTTTTTGTTGTTGTTTTTCAAAGATGCTGGTGAATGTGTTCATAGGATGACAGAATGACTCACATATGATATTTAGTTTTGGTGTGACCTTGTATCAAGCCATGCAGACATAATCAAAAGTAGGGCTCTTTTTCTAGATTGTAGCCTGACACTTGGAGATGCGACTGATGGTTTTTGATTGACTTGGATAATAATTGTCTTTACTAAAATATTTTAAAGCGGTGAGTACTGTGGAGGTCCTGGCCACTCAGTCAAACTCAGAGCCGTATGAGAGAATACCAGCTGCTGAGAAACTGAAGGAACTTGATAGAATCATAGAATGAGTAGGGTTAGAAGGGACCTTAAATACCATCTATTTCCAAGCTCCCTGCATGGGCAGGCATACCTCCTACTAGACAAGGTTAGTCAAAGACCCTTCCAACC